CAAAACTTAGGGCCACAGAGGAAGGAACAGTAGTTGGAAAATAAGGTCTTGGTGATAGAAATGAAGCTGGAAATTGCATGGTAGAACTTTGCAGAACCAATGACTTGTTCATAGCATAGCAAATACCCAGATGGGATACACAGATATTGAATTGACTACATCTGTCGGAAGACAGGAGGGAGAAGCTCAATAGCAACTGAAACCAGGCCAGGGGCTGACAGACCACCAGTTCGTTGCTCATATATAAGTTTAGGATAAAATTAAAGAAAAAACAAATCTACAGAATCAAATGCCATCTGAATTTTGAGATCATCTCAAGAACAGATTTGACACGTTGAACACTAACGACAGAAGACCTGATGAGCTGTCAGTTTCCCCCCCCCTGGTTGTGGGCTCTCTCTCTCTTTTAATGGTTTTATTTGTTTATTCAAATCATTTAATTGGGAGCTCTTACAGATATAACAATCCACAATTCAATTAGAGTGAGCATAATTGTACAATTTCTGTCACCATCAATTTCAAAATATTTTCTTTAACTCAGGTATCAGCTCCCCTTTAACCCCTCCTCTCACCCCCAGGAACCCTTATTATTTTATTTATTTTTGCTATTTCGTACACCATCCAATTTATCCGCTTACCTACAATTCTGTTAAGTCTTCCCCTTGAGCAGGGTTATACAGTCATCATTACTATCCATTCCCTCATCCCCCTTTCCCACCTTCTCTTCTTGTACCCTCAGGGAATCATTACTCCTGGTACTGTTTCTGAAGGGTTTATCCATCTTGGATTTTATGCATCAAACCATCTTAATTATACAAATGAACATACGAAGGTCTAACAGGATTAATGAGGTAAAATCAAGACCATAATGGTAGGAGGAGGAAATATTTTTTTTATTAAATCATTTTACTGGGGGCTCTTACAACTCTTATGACCATCCACACTTAAACATCCATTGTGTCAAGCACTCCTGTACATTTTTCCCCCTCATCATTCTGAAAACATTTGCTTTCTACTTGAGCCTAGTATCTGCTCCTCATTTTCCCCCGCTTCCCCCTCCCCTATGAACCCTTGATGATTTATAAATCATTATGAGAGGGAGGAAATATTAAAGAATTAGAGGATAGTTATTTGTTTCATCAGTGCTATACTGCACCCTAGATAGATCATCCCTTCCATGTGGGCCTTCTGTGAGGGACTGTCCAAACACCCTCCAGGTGGGTTTGGGGTCTCCACTTAGTCTATGCTCCTTCATGTCAATTTGATTGCTTGTTTTTGAACTTCTGATAGCTATTCCCGTCGACACCTCATGATCACTCACACTGGTGTGCTGCTTCCATGTGGGCTTTGTTGCGTCCCTACTAGATGGCCACTTGTTTAAGTTCAAGCCTTTAAGATCCCAGATGCTATATCTTTGAATAGCCTGGTACCATCACCTTTCTCTATCACATTTGCTTATACACCCTATTTTGTCTTCAGCAATCATGCTGGGATGTGGGTTCTCTTTTTATTCTGCTGGTGAAATTTTTTGATAAACCTAAGTGT